ATATCCTTGGGAAAGGTATGAATCCATCCCTTCTCCCATCTATGGGTTGAATAGCAGGACACACTGGGTTTTTTATCCTTGGTCGCCAACCAGTCTACCTTAGAAAGAAATGGCAACCTACTGCGGGAAAAAAATCTCCTGTCTCGTCAGTCATGTATCAAAAAGATACATGATCGCCTAAGTTATCACAATGTATTTAACTTTACTGAAGAGAAAATAAAATATTAGCTACGTTTAAGATAAGACCAGACATATCTCCGCTTTTGGTTTGTGATCTATCTATATATCTATCTCAGTCTGTTCATCTGTTTATTTTTCTCAGTTCGTTCATCTATCTATCTATCTATCTATCTCGGTCTATCTCATCTAAATCTATCTATCTATCTACCTAAGTTTTGTCATTTATCTATCTCAGTCTCTTCATCTATCTTATCTATCTATCTATTATCCTATAAATATATATATATATATATATATATTTATATATATATATATATATATATATATATAAATTTTTTCTTTCATTTGTCTATCTCAGTCCATCTATCTATCTGTCTATCTCATCTCTTCATCTATCTATCTCAGTCTCTTCGTTTATCTATCTTTCTATCTCAGTTTGTTCATTTATCTATATATCTCAGTTTCTTCATCTATCTATCTATCTCAGTCCATCTATCTATCTATCTATTTATCTATCTTAGTCTCTTCATCTATTTGTCTCAGTTTCTTCATTTATCTATTTCAATCTGTTTATCTATCTATCTCAGTATCTTCGTTTATCTTTCTATCTCTGTTCATCTATCTATCTATCTATCTATCTATCTATCTATCTATATATATATATATATATATATATATATATATATATATCAAACAGTTTTTATTTTTTATCTATCAAAGATTTTTTTTTGATCCAATAACATTGATGCTTTTGTTTATAAAACTCACAAAATAAAATCCTTTTATTTGCCATAATTTATTTTGATAAAAAAATATTCAGAGGACGTAACAAATTCAATACAAGATAAAATTTTTTTTTTTTTTTATATATATATGTGTGTGTTGTGTGTGTTCGTGTGTATGTATGTGTGTGAGAGAGAAAAGAAAACAGACTGACAGACCGAGTGAGAGAGAGGTTGTTGGTGATTATTTGGAAACAGGTGGTACGATATCCATTTTCCAACCATTGAAACCTTTCCAATCTTGTTCAGTCCGCGTAGGATTATCATATAGCTAACATTGCATTTGTCACTGAGTTCCATGACCGTGGGGACAGGATTTACCGTAACAGCAGTTTTTAAAATACTCTGTATCGAGTTCTTTTGAACGGCCAACCCTCTCGAGTAAAATTCACAGTTTTGAAACGGGGGGAAAAACAACCTCCTGCAACTAATTTCATTCAATGCATCAGCCTCATAACCGCGCTTGAAAGTGACTGAAGCCGAGATGCCGGGTCAGAATTGATAACCTCGCTGATTCTTCTTTGGATTTTGACAAGAAAATCTGACAATAAGACAGAAGCACCAGGCCATATATAGCAGCAATATTCGATGCACGGACGAATGGTCGACTTTTAATTGTGCAAGAAAGATTCTGACGAGAAAAGAATTGTCTCGCACGACAGAGTGAACAGACCTATCTAGCTGCTTGTTTAATATAGATCTATCGGCAAACATGGCCCTTCGCGCCTGCAAAAAAAAATGGTATGTCAAAAGAACGCTTTTCCCCATGACACTGCTTTTCTTTTAACCACCTTCACTCTTCGGTAATGTTTATTGTTTAAAAAAAAATTAATGATTAAAATTGGAATAAAAAACTAAACATATGATCAAAGTGAATTTTTATATGATTTTGTTCTTGAGAATTGACAAGAATGTTAAACACTATTTTTTACATTGTTTATTTACCAGAATAATTATTATATTTCCAACATTCTAGAAACTAACACAGCTATATTAATACTAATGCTGTTATGATGATCAACCTTAGTAGCCGTAGATATTCTACGTACACGGTATTTAACCAAGCTGAGCGGGACGTGGCACAAGGCCGGTTTAACGTGGAATTTTCCGAAACCGTAGGCTCAGGCAAAAATTACCCATAGACCCCGTAATAATGGGGTCGGGTTTGTCTATCCCCCAGACAAGACTCCGTCGTTCGGCATAGCCTCATCTGAGTTCCTCCCTGCCTTCAGGCAGGGAAGTCGACAAGCAGTCCAATCCAAACTCAAGGGTGTGGCTTAGATATTCTACGTACACTGACTCAGAGTTGCCCATGAGCTATAGTTATAGCTCTCTTTATGCTAATTACCTATTAGTTAAACTAATTCCATTACAAATGCAATTCAATATCTATCATTTACCAGTTTATAAAGAAATAAATATGAAAACAATTTTTATTCATAAATTTATAAACATTTACTAAATTAAAATATGTGAACCAACTATAAGGAAATCCTTATTATTTACCATTTTATAAAGTTTGTTTCAATTAACAATTAGCAAAAGTTTATTTTATTTGAGTTAACTTAATTTAGCCAACCATTCCAATAAACAGTCTAATAAATAAATAGCATTTATTATTTTTGTTGTCAATTCTCAAGAACAAAAAAAAATTATATAAATTCACATCGTAAATTTAGGTTTTATTAAAATTCTAATCCTCGCTTTTTAAAACAGTAAACATTGCCGAAAAATGAATGTAGTTAAAATAAAAGCGGTGTCATGAGAAAAAACCGTCCCTTTCACACTGTTTTTTTTTTTTCGGGGGTGAGGAGTGGGTACGAAGGTCCATGTCTGCCAATCGATGTATCTCAGTCTGTTCATATATACAAGGTGCGATGGGGAAATTGTCGCCATTTTATATTTTTCATTTCACGCATGCGCGTTGTTTGTTTTCAGTTTTGTCGACTGCACAGTATAGCAGGGTCAGTTGGTCCCCGTCAGTCAGAAAAAAAAGAGAACCATGACGAAATTCAGTCCGCCAGAAATTTGGAAACGGCATGGTGTACTGCTTGGCATTCGCACCGGAAGTTCCAATATGAACATTTCCCAGTGCTTGGGTGTCCATCTGAATACAGTGCGGAGGTTTCGGATAGAGTTGGATGATATATCCAGTGAACGTCGCGGTGTCTGGATTGATTACTAGTGATGACGACGTTATGTCTTCATTCATCTTCCCACAGGGTCGCACACATAACAAAGAGGCCTTACATCAAATGCCTTGAAGAGGTAGTGCTTTATATTGTGTACGTCAAAAGTGAAAATTATGCGCATTTTCATCATATGACGCTCTTTAATTTCTAAAAAGGAAAAAATCTCTGTACGAGTAGCAAAAAGGTATGTGTCGTTTATGGAGACAGTGCCATAGCTGAGAGTGTTGATCGTAAGTGGTTCGATAAGTTGAAAAGTGGAGAACGTTGCAGGACAACCCTCAGTCGTTGATGACATGTAAATCAAAACGCTGATTAAAAATAATTAAGACGATAAATGAATGTAGTTAAAACTACATCGCTGAGATACTCCATCTATCTCATGTAAGCGTTATAAGGCATTTGAAAACACTTGGATTCGCGAATCGCTTTGATATCTGAGTATTTAAAGATTGAACGGAAAAAATGTTTCATGTAACACATTTCCAGCTGTGGTTCTCTCGGCAAACGCAACAAAAATAAACCATCCCGTTTTTGAAAGGAACACTTACTGGCAATAAAAATGGATTGTCTACAACAGTGTTGAGAGGAAAACTAAATACGACTCCGTTGATCCCTCCAAATGCTGGCCTACATCTGAAGAAGACGATGCTGTGTATCAGGCGGGATTGAAAGTGTATTTGCGAAAATCAAGCAAGGCAATAATGCCACTAAGACGCAGGGGGGTTACTGACCGTTAGAGTATATGAGAAAAAAGAAAACATTATTAAAGAGTCAAAACAATAAAAGAACAGGAATTAAGACGAAGGAAGATGACAATTGACATTGTATTTAAATTTTTGAAGATCAATGTTGATGGGGACGCAAGATACCGGAAGAGAGTTCCACAAGCGAGAAGTACGATAGCATAGAACTTACGGTTACGTCTATAGCTATTTCAACAGTAAAATGACGGAACCTTACTGCCAGTCTAGTACAGTGATTAAATTCAAATTCATATGGTCTAGGTATCATAGAGGAAAGTAATCTTTATTTTGAAAATACAGAAATGTGGCGCAAAGCCAAAAGGAGGGTAGGGGAAGGCTGATTTTCAATCTGTCTTATCTTAAACTTAGCTTGCTACAATTACTGACCGAAGGCTAAAAGGGAGATAGTGGTAGGCTGGTTTGGATGCTCATGTCGCTTTCGATTCATGACTGACTAGGCAGACATTCCCGCAGTAGGCTGCCGTTTCTTTCTGAAACCAAGTCTATAGGGCATAGTCTGTCGCAGGAGAGGGTTAATTGCGCGTAAGTGAATGCAACGAACCCGATGAAAGGCAGTGGAACGAAATGGCACATATGTGGTTTAATAAATTCATATGCAAATAATATATTTTCTTTGAAATTTATTTTAAATATTACACGGGTACTTGTTCCAAAAAATATAATTAATGTTTACAAGAAAATTATAAATAAAACCATTTCTTTTCTGTATTTTTTTTTCTTTTGACAGGGAAGGTAATTCTAACTGTGTGCCGTAATGAGCAAAGCTTTGTAAACATCAAACGTCAAAGGTCGACTGATACACGAGATCGATTTGTACACGCCTGTAAATTATATGTTACACATACTTAACTCATCCTTATAATGCAATGTAAACGCAACCAGTTGTTTGTGAAAAGATTGCATCCTTTACGAAGGAATGAAGAAAAAAAAAGACAGTCTTCTGAAGCCACTTATACAAACCTGTTTCCATCGAAATAGTAGTTCGCCTATTGGAAAGAAAATACGTTTTGGCCTTATTATTGAGACTGTTTGCCTTAAAAGACTATAATTATATAATTTAAAATAAAAATAAAAGATCTGTTTTAAAACTCAATGACTATGGCACAGGTACTGAGATAGTATACAATTAAAGTCATTTGTTTCCTATTATGTGGGCAATAGATAGAAAGATAAATAGATAAAAGAAAAAAAAAGTAAAAAAAAAAAAAGATAGAAATTGAGATGATAGATATTAAGATAGATAGATGATGAACAGAAAAAAAAAGAACTGTGATAGTAAAATACTGAAACAGATCGAAAGAAACATAGATAGATAGATCGAGAATAACAGATAGATAGATAGATAGATAGATAGATAGATAGATAGATAGATAGATAGATAGATAAGAATAAAACAAAGGTTGACCGATATTAAGATAGATCGATTGATGAATTGATAGATATTGACATACATACATATATATAGATAGAGAGATAGTAGAAAGAAATAAAGAATAAAACAAAGGTTCACAGATATAAAGATAGACAGTCTGATATATATATATATATATAGAAAGAGATAATCGAAAGAAATAAAGAATAAAACAATGGTGACAGACAGATAGATAGATAGATAGATAGATAGATAGATAGATAGATAGATAAGAGAATGAAATAAAGAATAGAACGAAGGTCGACTGATATTAAGATAGATCGATTGATAGATAGATATGGACATAGATATATATAGATAGATAATAGAAAGAAATAAAGAATAAAACAATGGTGACAGATAGATATGGGCATATATATATATATATATATATATATATATATATATATATATATATAAAATGAAATGAAATAAATAAAAAAAATTTTGGTTGACACATATTAAGATAGATCGATTGATAGATAGGTATGGACATAGATATATATATAGAGAGAGAGATAATAGAAAGAAGTAAAGAATAAAACAATGGTGACAGATAGATAGATAGATAGATAGATAGATAGATAAAAGAATGAAATGAAAAAAAATTAAAGGTTGACAGATATTAAGATAGTGAAATAAATCATTTTTCTTTTTACAAATGAATCTCATCATCGTCAAATCCCGTCTAAGCCATTTCAGATTCACACCTACGACATGATATTCTGTTTAAAAAAAAAGGCAGATTTTTATTTAAAGCCACAAACAAGATTTATTTCAGTTTTGCATTTCTCGAAATTGTCAAAATAAATGAGTAGGCGTCTTTGACGCACCTTACAAAGAGAAGCGAATCACAGACGACATTCGAAATCAAGGTGTGCGCCTCTGGAGTATAAAACCCGCCTTTGGCCAGGTAATTATCTCAGCCGACCATAGAAAAAGGTCGAAATAAAAAAAAAATGTCTGTACACCTACGCATGTTGCCATGTTTCTCTGATTATTCCTGACGAAATTATTCCTTTTTATTCTGTATTTAAAAAAGAAAGAAAGAAAAAACGATCTGATCTTGAAAATGTTCCGTCGGAAATTTAATCAAATACAACCTCGCGAAAAAATATACGTATTATCTACGAGAAGCGTGATCTTTCTTTTCTATTGTAATTCAGCATGGTTTTTGGTAGATCGATGTTAGACTAACTGAAAGAAATGTACGGAGCATTAACACTGATATCATCTTGAACAATAATTATATCTATATTGTGCAAGTAATGCACTCTGGTTCTTAGACTTTATGAATTTAAGCTCAGTGCTAGATTGGCGCCAAAGTCTCATCAATTTACATTTGAAATGGTTAGATGTAACGGCATGTTCTATGCTAACTATTTCTTTTCTCGCACTTCTCGCTCGTGGAACTTTCTTCCAGTTCCATGTTTTCCAGCTAAATTTGATCTTCAAAAATTGAAATGCAATGACGATCGTTAATTACTGACTTCCTGGTCACTCTCCTATTGCTCTACTTCCTTAATAATGTTTTTGTTTTCTAATGCTCTCGCAGTAACACCTTGTGCCTTAGTGGCTTTACTACCTTACATGAGGTGAATTCGATTTAAAAAAAAAAAAAAAAGAAGGAAAACACGATATTAGATAATGATTGACGTTACGGTTAAGCTTTTTGGACATGAAAGCGAGAAGTGCCAGAGAAGAAACTATTAGCCTCGTTTACAGTTGAAGTGGATAGATATAACCGTAAGTTCCATGCTAACAGTTTCCTCTACTGAAACTGTCTTCCGGCTTCTGGCTACAAGTCAACTTTGATCTTCAAAAATTTAAATGCAATGTCAATCGTTATCAACAGTCTCCTTGATTCCTCTTCTTTTATTGTCCTTTTTCCTTAATATTAGTTTTTTTTTTTCTAATATTCTCTAACACTCAGTAACCCCTTGAATCCTAGTGTCTTGGGGTGAAATGATTATGTATTATAATCTGATTGTGTTTGTATTGTCTTTCGAAAGATGTCATAATCCAATGTATACACTTGTATCCTTGTTGTCATTAAGTTAAGGGCAGTCGATTTTAACGTTTATTCCAACGTAATTTCAATAGAAACAAAATGAATAAAATAACATATGTATTTTTTTTCTTTTTTCCTCAATAATTTAAAAATTTTAAACTTAATATAGATTAAATTTACATTTTTGAAATGGGTAGTTTTTAATTTTAATTTCAAATTTATCGTACAATTTAATACTTATTAGTTAGAATAAATTCTATTTTAGTATAAACCCAACTTTAAATCATTTAATAGTTATTATAACCTTCGTTGTCAAGTTTTTTGAATTCTCGTATACTTGTATTTTGATTGGTCATTTCAGCTCATGTAACAGCGTTTCCCCTTACAAGGGGTGGTTAATTAATTTGAACCTTTTAAAACCTTTATTCTACAATCTACACTCAACATCATCACTTGATAAGACACCAAATGTGTTCAAACAAAATGGTTATTTTTGTAGTGATTTTATAACATATTTATGTTATAATTTTTAAATAAATATTTATATTCGCTCTACTCTGTACTGAGCACACTTTTAAGAATAGTAATTGTTGGTGATTGGAATTTATTCCGTATACACCAATCATACACTTGGTTATATATATATATATATATATATATATATATATATATATATATAATACGTTTTAAACTACACATATTTGTAAAATTTTAGGCCTATAGTTAGAGTTGCATGATAAATATAACGTGCGAAATTCAGATTATAATAATACCTGTTTTTATTAAATGTTCTGTTTTATGAGAAAATATTTGCGATAAATGTGTGACATTTGAACATTACACTTGAAAGTTGTTCATCATATTATAGAAATATATTCTTTATATATATATATATATATATATATATATATATATATATATATATATATATATAAATTTTATAATTTAAATATGTAGATACACAAATACTTGCACATATGTATACATATATTTCTTCCTCGGGCGTTATAAATGCAGTGCTCAATGTTATGAAACAGAGCTATGAGGAAATATTATTGAATATACATAATATCCAATGTCGGTAACACAACTGGGATCTTCATGTAGTTTATGCAATCATAAGGTGTGGAGAATCTCCATACCTGAAAATTGCATAAACCGCATGTTACCGACGTTGGATATTATATTGCGTCTAGCATGAAACAGCCTGTCGCCTCTGTGTTGACTTCAATGTTCACTTTTATATTTATTTATATATATATATTAATGGTATATCAACTCCTTCTTCATTTAATGCCGAAATTTAATTTTCTTGGGGGCTTTGAAGTTATAAAAATATGATATATGTTATTCTGCTTTCACAATTGAATACATGGTAGATAATACTCAGCTTTTGTGCATATGCATGTGTGTGTGGACATGATTACTACAGGTGGTGATATGTGTGTTTCATGTTGTAGTTTTGTTAAAGTCATATTTTTTAATACACTTTCATTTCTTTAAGAAATTGTAGGTTATTGTATAGATTAATGTCATAAAAGCGTTCTTACATGGTGGTTTATTGGTTGACCCTTCTGCTATAAATATGTATTGCCGGTCATTCTGCTATAAATATGTATTGCATACTTTCATAGTGTTTTGTTTTTGTTGGTGGTTCACTCTTTGCCTATAGATGAGACCCTAACAGATGCTACCACCCCGGGTCAGGATATACCTGGGAACAACAGTAATTTAATGGTTGCTTTCTCATGTTGTTTTTTTTGGGGGTGGGTCTGGAGTGGGGGTTGTTTGGCTGATCTTGTTTAGCGGCATATGAACATAGCTTATTTAATGCAGAAAATGAGATATTTTGAACGCCATTGTATGCCTTCATATACTGATAAAATGTATTGTTGATCATTTTGCTTTAAAATTGTATTGTTGGTAATTTTACTATAAATAGGTATTGCTGGTAATTTTTATATATAAAAATGTATTGCTGGTATTTTTACTATAAAAAAATGTATTTTTCATACTTTCATAATGTTTTATTTTTGTTTAGGGCTTCACTTTTTGCCCATAGCTGGGACCCTAACAGATGCTACCACCCCGGGTAAGTGTGGACCTGGGAACAATAGCAATTAAAAGGGTGATTACACGCTCCTCCAATCTCCCGGGCAGAGGCCTTTATCGTTATACCCAGAACTATATATATATATATATATATATATATATATATATATAATTAGGAAACCTGCCGATTCCGCTACATTGGTTTAAACTTGTCAGTATCTTCAGGCGATTTCGGTCAATTAATTTCCTAACACATTGGTTTCTTTGGGGTTTTTTTTTTTTGGTGGGGAGGGGTTAAGCTAAATAAATGAATAAGCTCATGGCGTGAGGGGTGATAGAAGGTCATTAGGAGGAGGGGTAAAACAAGTATATTGGAAATGTTTCGGTGTGGGATTAAATGAAATTGTTATGGTCCGGTTCCTTGTACCACGGTGATAGTCCAAGGTAGAACCAATAAAGAAGAAATCGAACACTGATATGAAATAACACAGATATATTTACAAACAGGAATATATACAGAGAAGTAGAAAGTGTTAGTACGAACAATTAGGTTTAGTAGTAATTGTCTGAACACGACTCTGTTTCGGACTGCCTCTGACTCGACTGACTGACTCGCTCTGATTGACTGACAGACAGACTCCTGACGGACTTCATTCCAGACTTCAGACTTCACTCCAGACTTCAGACGGTACTCTAGACTTCAGACTGAACTCCCTGCTTCCTCTTGAGGCGCAGTATTTATTACGTATGGAATAGTTCATTATGTTATTATGGGTAAGGTCCCCTAACAGAAATATACATACTTTCTTTTCGTCCCACTTCAAATGAACTACAAAGGAACTTTTTAGTATGTATGCAACGGGACATAATTTCCGATCTCTGATTAAAAAAGATTTTTAGTCTGGAAATATAGCTCATTTCTCTTGTTGACAAAGATTGCAGATATTGCTATGATTGTTGTAAGGTTTTGTTCTTTTTTAAATATTCAAGTTTACAATCGGATCTTTTTTTATCCTTTTCCTTTAATTTCCACACATAGTTGGCTAATTTAGTAGAATTTCTAAGTCTTTCTATCATAAAGGATGACATGATTGTACCATCGCTTTTTAAAGTTACCCTCAGTACACCCTATGTATATTTTTCTGGCCATTTGTATCTATTATTTCTGCTTTGTAAATTACTGCTTCTTGTTTTGCAAACTCTATCTAATAGACATCTGCTTTTATTTCTACAATTGCATATATTACAGTTAACAATGTTTTGCTGCACGTTAATTTTGAAATTTTTGGTGTTTTGTCTTTTTATTTTGGTTTCTAAATTACTGATACAACCGTAGCTTAATTTAATTGTATTTTTATTAAATATTTTATGTAATTCGGATTTTAGGGGGGAAGTGTTTATTAAGTGATTTGAAAAATATTTTCCCTATTTTACACTTGGCCCCTAAGTTAAAGGAAGTGGGGATTAAACCAAATATTTTTTTTCTTTTCTTCGAATTTTTCTTCATTTGTTTTATTCCAGTTTGGTTTTAGACCCCTCTTTTTTAAAGGCTTTCATATTCTTTCTTTTTATTTTCGAAAATTATTTTGAGGGATTTCTAGATAACCTG